CTTGAGCGCTATAGTGAAAGAAAGTAATCAAAGAATTAAATAATTGGATACTGCCATAAGAAGGGATAAATAATATTCTAACCAAATACAAGAGATTTGTGTGAGATGCGGATTTTGATCTCACAACACTAGCTCTGATACTGCAAGCTCACATAATGCAGATTACAAGTAATGTGTTGATAATCTCCTTCATAATCTTTAACCACTCTCAAATAGCATCAATAACTTTCTTCAAGATAATTATGGAGAATTATACAAGGAATTAAGCAAGTTGGCATGGGGGTCATTTGCACCAAAATACTTTGGAGTTTTTCCAATAATCACTAAGGTTTCTAGCCAAAACTTTCTTTATTAGTAGCCGAAATTGCCAAAACACTTTGGGCAAAAATTACTTTTTTATGAGCCCAAACTATTTTTTGTTATTAGCCGAAATTGGGTGAAATTACTTTAAAGTTGTTTATAAAAAATGCTGAGAAGCCCAAATTGCCCAAACTAGTTTGGGCTTTGAGAAAACAGTTTGGACCAAAAACCTTAATGATTGCTATTAATTACAATACTATTAGTGATTATCATTGGGACACAAATGATGTGGAAAATGGTTTCTGTTGTCTTGTTGTTTTAGGAGATTTTGAAGGAGGTGAACTATGTTTTCCCCAACTGAAGATTGTGGTACAGTCAAAGCTCATTATAGTGGATCTCATTATAGTGGATTTTGCCTATAGTGGACGTTTTCTATTTCCCCAATTCTCTTTATAATAAAATTTGTTCGTTATAGTGGACTTCTTAATAAATCTCTTTATTGTGTATAGTGGACTTTTAAAAAATTTGATATAGAACATACCTTATGAATTATGCTCGTTATAGTGGAAATCATGTGGTTTTATGGCAATCTTTTACATTAATGGTTAGTGTTAATGTGGTCAACAAAATTGTATATTAAAAAAAGGTAAACAATTATTTTGTTAACAATAAATTTTGATCTGCACATTATTTTTTTTTTGATGGCGGCAATAAATTAATGTTTATACATTATCCTCTTTTTTTTCAACAGTATCTTTTCATTTTCAAAAAAGACTTGGTTAATTTCTTTAACAACAAAGAAGGCTGATTTTTTTGGCAGTGGAAAGTATTCATGTTTTTGAAGATTTAGTTGATTTCTTTGACAATAAATTAATTTATACATTATCCTCTTTTTTTTTAGCAGTGTCAAAATACCTTTTCATTTTCAAAAAAGACTTAGTTGATTCTTTAACAACAAAGAGAATTATTTACACGAAATTAAATTGTTTTAAAAAAAATTGTAATAGTATATTGTTATAGTATTTCTTTTATACAAGAAATTGTTTATATAAAGAGAGAAAAATCTCAGATGAAATTTTAATATTAATCAATAAATAAAAATCATTTATCATTTATCATCATTTTGTCATTTACCTTGTTATAATTTTTTTTTAATTGGTAATATTATCAATATCTCGGTACTATTTATATATTTAAAATGCCACCAGAAAAGAGAACTAAAGGAAGTGATGATGAAGAAAAAATTAAGAAAAGAAAGAGTTTAACTTTTTTGGAGAAGAAAGAAGTATGTGAATGGAAAAGAGATCATCCATCATATAATTTAGATGAAATCGCAAAAAAATTTGGAATATCAAAATCACAAGCTGGTAATATAATAAAAGAGAAGGATAAATGGACATCTATTAATACCTCAAATGTAAAATCTAGCAATTTAAAAAGAGAAAGAGGTGCTAAATTTCCTGAGGTTGAAGCTGCATTGTATTTATGGATGAGTCAAGCTTTGGCATCAAATTTAGCTATTAGTGGAGACATATTAAAAAGCAAAGCAACACATTTTGCTGAGAGATTACAAGTAACAAGTTTTGGTGTATCAGATGGGTGGTTAACAAAATTTAAAGCACACTATAACATAAAACAATATAATAAAGCAGGTGAGGCAAATAGTGCACCTTTGGAAACACTAAATGATGAAAGAGTGATTTTACGAGAAGTTATTGGGGAATATGATCTTTGTGATGTCTATAATATTGATGAAACTGGTAATTGTATAAATATAGCCAAATTTATTTGAATTGAAATTCTTACTAAAGTATATATAACTTTTTTAAAAATACTTAGCTTTATTTTGGAGTTTAGAGCCATCTAAAACTCTTTCTGATCATTTAATTTCTGGTACTAAAAAATCCAAAAACCGCATCACTATTGCTTTAACATGTAATGCTGATGGTAGTCATAAATTACCCCCATTAGTTATACATAAATACAAAACACCAAGAGTTCTTAAAGGAATCAATAAGGATGATTTGCCAGTTTGGTATTATTGGAACCGAACTGCTTGGATGCAGGCATCAGTATGGTATAATTATCTTGAAAAGGTTAATAAAATGATGAGACAACAAAATCAAAATATTTTATTATTAGCAGATAATGCTCCAACCCATATAATAAATGAAAATTTACCTTATCAAACATTAAATTACATTTCCTTCCTCTGAACACCACATCCCACTTGCAACCTTTGGATGCAGGAATCATTAATAGCTTCAAGGTAAGGAGCAAAAAAAAATTTTGAATGTTTTATTAATTTTCGAAATTTTGAATTTTATTTAACTTACTTTTAATCTTAGGCTCAATATAGAAAGATTTTGGTGGAAAATAGGATAAAAGAATA